TATTATGTCGAAGCAACGTGAGCCTCCACATGCACGTGTAATGGGAATATTGGTGTGGGGACGGTTTGACCAGTGGAAGTCTCGGCACTTTGGAGTGGGCACAGCAGGGGTCACGCGGTTTAAGTGGTGTTTTAACAGACTTGAATTTTCACCCGCTGTGGTAGACCCATCTATCTCCTACTTCTACCCCCCCACCCCTCCTCCTCACCCGCTTTTTTTCCATGCGGGGAGCAGTGGGCTGTAATCACTAAATTACTGTTTTCACTCTCAGCTCCAGTCACCACACTGCACAGCTCCCCTGCCTCGCTTGCACACTCCTTCTCTGCTCTCCCTCTCTCCCTCTCTCTCTCTCTCTCTTTGTCCTATTTCTCTCCCTCCACCCCGTCTTCATTATTTATTGTGGAGCCGTCTTACTGTAAGCTGCCTTCATGAAGCGAAGACGATAGAGGCAGGGGCCCGGGGATAGAAGGTAGCTGAGGGGAGAGGATGGAAAGTTTGGAATATAAAAATGAATTTGATTAATGCGCCGGCTGATGAAATGATGAAACACTGGGCCTCCGTAATGAGAACGCTGCCCGCGCTCTGTTTATCCATTCTGTCCACACTCGCGTCTTCGCTCTAAAATGGAGCTCAGACGTACAGTAAAGCACTCAATTTTTCAAAATCTGGAAACCCCTTCCTCGGGGGAGGAGGGGGGAAAGAAATTGCCGGCACGAGTATTTGTCACTCCAGCTGCTCCGTCTGAGAACAAACATAAGTCATTTGAAATTTTTTGGACTGAGCTGCTGTGACATCAGAAGCGAGGCATCCTGTCCTCGCCGTGGACCCGATGACAAATAGATCTACGCGTCCTTGAGTCAAACAGAGGTAGGAGGCCACGCTAGCTTTCCTCCGTCCTCTCCTTCTCCTCGGATGGAGGGAGGGAGGGAGGGAGGGCATGGGAGAGGATGGGGTTGTCATGGGAACAGACATGGAGAGCCCTGCGTGAGTGAAGAGGCTTGAGACAAAATGACAGAATGGTGAAGCGATTGAATGTGAGGTATAGAAGCTGCACAGTCAGACAGGTGTTTAAGAAACAAAAAAAAAAAACACACAACATGGCAGCGCTGTGGAAATAACTCTCTTGTTTGTGATTCAGTGTTTAAACGAATGCCGGCTGCGGTACAAGGAAGGTATCACAAGCAAAAGGCTCCATTCCCTTGTAGCGCCGTAAACTGTGTGCTTGTTTGTTTTCGGAGATCTGATGCTCGAGTTTCTGCAGGTTGTGCACCGAGATCCCTCGCCATCCTCAACGAGAAAGGTGCTGAAAAAGTCTTCTTCCTCTGTGCTTTTTTTCCCCACTTCAGCCGGTCCCCACCAGCCCCACCAGCACCTCCCCAACACCCGGTGGCACTTTGGGCATGTCCAAGATGGACGCCCCCAGCATGCAGGACGTCTACATCCTCTCCCCGGTGTCTGGACTCTACAGCACCAGGTCAGGCCCACAGATGTTTCATGATGATCGTTACGCTGATGGTAACGATGATGATGATGATGATGATGATGATGGTGATGATGCTCTCCCCAGGGAGGAGATGGGCCTGATGTCATGCGACGACATCAGCCGCTACAGCTCCCAGTCCGGCTCCAAAGGTTCAGAGGCAGTCAGCTACTACCTGGACCAGGACAGCGGTCAGTACTTCTCCCTGCTGGAAGGGGAAGGACCGCCGGGGCCGGACTACGACAGGAGCCGCAACACGGGGGTTCGCCGGCGGGACAAGACCCCCACCCATGGTGAGACTGGCGGCGGTTCTAAACGTGGAGCTGGAGCGGCTCCGGCCTCCTGTTTGTTTACCAGAACAGCATGTTCTCTCACCTTTTCTTTTCACCGTTCTTCTTCCTCCTTATGTGTTTGTTCACCACTCGCTCCATGGCTCTGCTTCCTCGTGTCTTTATCTGGCATACACACCAGAAACACACCAAACCACATGCCAAACGGTCAGTCCAAACACACTGTCTCCAGCTCCCTGTCTGCCCCAGCACCTGTGTCCACCGTTTTTGTCCCCGACAGCGTCCAGAGCATCCTGTTATGTATCTCCGTGTGAGTCCATCAAGGGGCCGCCGCTTGACGTGCAAGACGAGTGTCATGGAGGGCTGCTGTTTCATAACCTCTCTGGTTAGACAACCCGAGAACACGGGGGCTAAATAAAGCTAACCAACCTCGTTTCAGAAGGTGACATTACTCCCTTCATGAATATACATGCAAACGTAATTACCCACAGGTCTTAATGAGCAGTTTTGTTGCCCAGCAAGAGATTTCTGTCAACTATGACCAGAATGTTAGATCTAGAAACATCTGATAATTAAAAGGAGAAATTTTGTGCCATTGTGGGTTTTTTAAAGGATCGAATTATAAGTACATTTAAACACATAATTTAGACACTCAAATGAAATATGTAGTAAATATGGTCATGAGCATGATATAAGTTTGTCTAATACCAAGTAACAGCACAGAAGTACTTTGCCACTGAGGTCCAGCCAGCAGATAGCTTCAGCGGTGGACAGTAAATAAATGCATTTACTCAAGTATTGCATTTGTTCCGAGGTACATTTCATTTGAGTATTTCCAATTTGTGCAACTTTCTACTGCAATACATTTATCTGACAGCTTTAGTTACTTTTTAGATGAAGGTTTTATACAATGGATGATGTAATGAGTTTTAAAAAAACAACAACAATAAAAGAACACATTGTTAAATGTTAGTTTTTTGGTTTCTTACAAAAAGCAGCGTGCAGTTTGCATTTCAGACGCCTTTGAGTTGTTAATACTTTTACCAAATAGGGATTTTTCTCTTCAAGCTTTTCACATGGTTTCATTTCAATAGATTCTAAAGAAAAAAAATCTAATATCTCATGAAAAACTTTTAGATTGTCTTTCTTTTTTTTTTCGTTCTTTTTTGCTGAGAGAAAAAAACAAAACAGATTTGTGGATCAGAACTTCATGTTTGGAGATGCGTAGATTTGTCTGCTGTCCCTGAATATAAAACTGTATTTAAAGTAGTTCAAACTGCCTTCTCCTGCAGCGGCTGCTACAGTAACATGCTGCTGACACACTGATGCTTCACTATTATTGATCTAATGATGTCATATATAACAATACATCCATCAGAGGAACCACTCCACTGCTTTTACTTTAACACTTTAACTACATTTTTCTATTGATACTTATGTACTTTTTCTTAAGCGTTCTGGGTTTTTACTTGTAATGCAGTACTTTTTTTATTGCTGCACTGATATTTTTTCTTTTAAACCTAACTTTGAATCTTTCACCTCTGATTAATCTTTTCTCAGAGCGCTAAAGGCAAAATCAGGACAACATAGGATTCGTCCTTACGGAATTATTAGATGTGATTTTTCTGTATTATCAGGCATCCTTTGGGAACCACGAACGTCTGTACAAAAATGCCATTCAGTGGTTGCTCCACGATTAATTTTGGTAATATGTATGACAGTGGCACCGCTATTCATAGAACCACATTGCTGGCATTACTAAGGATGATGTGTCAAAGTAATCTCCTTTAGATAGACGGAGACTTTATTCATCCCCTTGTGGAAATTCAAGGTATCCACACGTTACATGTAGGGAAAACCAAGATGCAACTCATACAAAAACACAGATTTGTTCACAACTTCATATATATTTGACACAATAGTTCACCTACTAGCTAAACTAATTAGCATCTTTTTTTGTCATCGTCTGCAGCTGTTGAGTCATTTTTGTATTGATTAAATTCAGTCTACTGCATTGTGAGACTAGTAGCAGAAGTTGTGTTACATGCACGCAACTTGTTTTGTGAAATTTCTGAGACAAACATGGAAATAAATGTGAGCACATTACTCAGATAAACTGTCTGACAGAGCACTATACGGTTAATACGTAGAGAGATGTCAGTCGTGAGCATGACACAAGATGGAATAATTAAATGATGATTCAGTCTTAATTATCGGGTCACTCTTGACGCTCGCCCTGCAGGTCATAGCGGTCCCTCGAGAGTCCTCCCTCTTACCTGCACACACTTCCTCTCACGTGTCCACCCCTCTAGCTGTGTCCCACGCCGTCTCTCAGTCACCGCCTCCTCCCCTCTTCCCGCGACTCTCCCCCCAACCCCCTCCGTCCCTCCCCCCCATGGCCGACTCTCTGATTGCTGATTGGTGCTTCCAGGTGACCTCAGACCCGTTTCCATGCCTCCCGAATATAACTGGATGGCCGAGGCCAAGGAACCCAGCATGGGCAAGAGAGGGAGCCGAGGTACACACACACAACCACATGTACATGCAACGACACACAACACCCCCACCAACTCCCCCCGACACACACACAACACACAACGCCATCGGGTCGGACCGGCGCCGTGCTTTTGCTCCATACCCAGCTCAACGCATTTCAGCTCATCTTCTGGTTCTCCATGGTGGTGTGCTTGTGTGAGGATACATATCTGCCAGGTATGTATCTGACAGAGCGACAAATAAACATAAATGCAAGGAAATTGCATTTATACAGCCGCTCTGGAAATGACGGTATTTTCTATGTGACCAATTCTGACCTGCTTCACCGTTTTGCGGCGAGACTCGATCTGTATTCAACCGAGGATGCTCCACTCTACCGTCAGAAAAGTCTATGAATAACATTAAAGCACAATACTAATGTTGGGGGGGTCTGCCTTTCTCTGCCGTCTCCTTTCTCGTTCTCCTCTGTCACATTTTAGTTTTTCACATTTAAGTGTATGGATAATAAACAAATTAGGTGAGAAGTTTTATCTATCTGGAGCTGTAGCAGAATAAAACTTCCTGTGACCGACAAGATTTAGCAGCAGTGGAATCAACATAATCACTGCAAACAGATTAGCTGTATGTCCCCGGCAGCGGATCCATATCTGATACTACAGCCACGAGGCACTTTTATCCCTTTCTGTTGGCTTTTTATCTGTGAGGGTCTATTCAGCGTCATCTGTTTCAACTCCGGGGTTCTCCCTTGACTCCGTGGCGCTATCTCCTCCCCCCTCTGTGGCTCTGCCCTCTCTGTCATCCCTTCTATCGAGCCTGTCCATCCTCTGATGTCCTCCCCCTCCGTCTCTTTTTATCACAGATTCAGACAACTCCCTGCTGCGTTACCTTAGTGACGACAAGATCCTGGTGATCGAGGAGGAGCCCGAGGGTCCGGGCAGAGAAAGCCGGAGGGATTCCACCAGACGCTCTCGGCGCAAGAGCCGCAATCCCAGCAGCCCCAGCTTTCCCATCAGCCCCTCCATGCTGTCCTCCACCCTGCGCCTCGACCAGCCACCTGAACCTTTGCCTGTATGTAAACAGTCTTTAAATGTTACCCTTTATAAGCAAATTCTATGAATGGTAGTCTTTATTTTTATTGTTGTTAACAAATCATGGAAAGGCCATGAATTGATAACAGAAAAAAGCTTCCCCTGTGGCACAGACCACCACTGGTGTCCAAAAATGACTACAAACGAACAAATGCAAACTGCTGTATAATACGTATGAGGGTACTTCAAAAAGATTTCAGCCTCAAGAGGAAACAAGAGGCCATTTTGGGACATAACGGGTCTACTATAAAGCCTTATATCGCTGTCCACAACAACTTCAGTCAATCAAGCAATCAAAGAATAAAGGAGAGAAGAGCTTGGGGCTGGCTGGTGTTGCTCCAGGACAATGTGTCCGTCCACAAAGCACAGGTGGCAGAATCAGCCAAATGCGGCTTTTAACTGTTCCCCCGTGAACCTTACTCAGCCGACCTGCACCGTCTGACTTCTATCTGTTTCCCAAACTAAAACCCAACTTGCACCTTTTTTAGAGTGATGATGAAGTCATGCCTGCTCTTGGGGGAGTATTTAGAGGCTGGAGATGTGACCTTCTTCAGCGAAGGGACAGTGAAGGTTGAACATCAGTAAACAAAGTACAAAGGGCGGTTGTGGCTCAGGCGGTAGAGCGGTTGTCCTCTAATCGCAAGGTAGTTCAATCCCCCACCCCCTTCACAGTTGAAGTATCCTTGGGCAAGACACTGAACCTGCAAGTTGCTCCCAATGGCAGGCAACACCTTGCATGGCAGCTCTGTGACCATTGGTGTATGAATGTGTGTGTGAATGGGTGAATGAGAAAACACTGTGAAGCACGTTGGGTATCACGAAGGTAGAAAGAAGGTATAAGTGCAGACCAGTTACCATTTAAAGTTAAAGGAGACTATATTGGAAAATAATCCAACAACAATCTTCTGTAGTGTTTTCCTTCTATCTATGTCACTACAAACATTGGTCCTGTATCCTGGATCCTGGGCAAGAGGTATGACATGCCTGGAACTAGGCTACCAGTCTATCACAGTGCTACCACAACAACTCCATGCAAACATCTCTGGATCATGGACTATCCTGTGACAAGATCCACCCAACACACCTTTAATTATATATAACTTGAAGCCTTAATGTAATCTAAACAGGGGAGTTCTGTTAAATGTCACCCCCTGTACAGTTATCATGAACAGGGAAAGAAGCTCTACAGACCAAAACTGTTTTTATACCAGGCTCCAAACATGTTTATTTCTGTTGTGAAACTGGACATTTTAACATGGAGGTCAATGGGGACTGACTTCATTTTGGAGCCAGCCTCAAGTGGCCATTTGAGGAACTGCAATTTGTTTGGAACTTTCAGCAAATTGAGAATCACCTGCAGTATGAACCAAACATGTATGGCTTTGGAGTGTGGAAATAAGCTCCTGGAAAAAAATCCACACAACATGCAAACTTCAAACGAAAAAGCCACAGTTGACCAGTAGATTCATGTTGAAAGGCAGCAATGCTTTACCTTTTACCACTGTAAAATAGTTCCAAATATATATATCTACGAAAAACAGATGTATGAATACATTTGCTTCAGCGACGTAAGGAAAACAGAAAGCACTATAAGATAGAAATATGGATTGAGTCATTGTCTTTTGCATGGTACTTGTTGACAATAAGAAACACTGACTGTCCTTTTATTTTAAAGGCAACTAAAAGTCTGCATTCTTTGACTTTTACAGATAATACTGGATGTTTCAGGGAGAGCCTTCTTCCTCTGGTTATAATCCAGTCCACACACAAGCACTTAAAACTATTGAATTGATCAGTGAATGTGATGGATCTGTGACAAACCCTGACCATTGTCATATAACTTGATCAAAGCAGTAAACTAGTACGAATAATTACTCTGGAATGTTTTTTGCTTTTTCCCAGTCACGGATTTCACTTTTTTTGTTTCATAGCTTTTGCCTTTCAAAGCCGTGTTCAGAGCCGATATTAGATCCTCCTTGAAAGAAACAGTTTGTGGTTGTAGGTCGCGGTGTTCACAGATTCACACACATCGTCGGCCGTGTGTGTGTGTGTGTTAGGGTGTGTGTGTGTGTGTGTGTGTGGTCAGGTAGAGGAGACAAAGGAGAGCGAGAATGATAAGTGTTATTGCATGGCTGCCAGCATCGCCGATGAGGAGAAGGACGGTGACACTGAGACACGCCCCTTTGTAGCTTTTATATTTCCTCCCAGGACACACACATACATGCGTTCACACACACACACACACGCACACACACACACACACACACAGAGGCCTACGCAAACACACACTGGCACACAGGGGGAGCATTTGTATGCAGGGTAGCCATCTCACGACTCATCCTAACTCATCCTAATATCCCCATCTCCTCAGACACGCCTGAGTCTAAATAGGAGTTTATTCTGAACAAACACACACGCTGGCACGCGCACACACGCACACACACACACACACACACACACACACACACACACCGAATCCCTGTGAGTAGGTGTATGACTCAGCATCAGCTAGACCAATTACAAGCGCGACTGACAGTGCTGTGCTTAAAACACGCAAACACACACACACACACACACACACACGGCAGCTCGCACCAACTCCAGCCCTCTGAGCTGCGTGTTTCTCATGGCGGTGACTCATATCTATTCGGCGGCACATGAAGTATACTATCCTGCACTAACAAGCATATGCAAACCTTAATGACCTGCTTGTTTTCTTTCTCATTATCTCCGTGTGATTCTTTCTCCATCCGTGCAAAAACACCAGCGTTTTAACGAATAAAATGTTAACTTGCCGGTCAGGGAGCTCTCTAGCGTTTGCATACTTTGCCAGCGTGGCCGAAAACACGCACAAAAAATATATAACGCATGTAGTAGTAGCAGCAAAGGTGCTGCAAAATTTCATGAAATGTGAGATAATGACCCTCTGGGATTGGCTGACTGAGCCCCTCTCGTCACACCCCCAATTCTAAAAACAAGCTTTTTTGTGTCCACAGTTAGAGAAAAAGTGCTTTTCGAAACACCACAACCAAATTCAGCGGACTTTACTAAGAGGATTATATTAGTGGCTCACAATTGATTAAATCTGAGGTGACGGGGAACAATTCTTGTAGCACCAGAGCGGACTCGATTACAGTTATCACACAATCAAGCCAAAAATAGTCTGCTGCTGATGGAATTAATAAAACACCTGTAACAGCACGAGTCAGGAGGACGCAGCGTGAGACAGTAAATACATGGGCAGGCCGTTCTGTCCTGCTAACTAGCACGCATCACACTTTCACTGCTGTTTTAAGTCATTTTCATGTTATGCGATGCTGTTTTTTGATTGTTCAGTTGTGCAGTTTGTCATTTAAATCTGATCTGGGTATCAAGAAAAGCATATTATATCTTTATTATTATTAAAAGTAGAAAAGCTTTGAAAGTCAGTGCATGGGAAAGAGTACTAGGCATTAAATCCTCATGTAATATTGCTGTATATAAATGTTAGTTACAGGTAAATTATGATTGCAAACAGTGTCAAATATTTGTGTAAAAGTTCAACCAGCTCCTATTTATTATATCTTGGCTCAACTGAAGGGTTTCATTTTACAAAAATATGTCAAAGTAGAGATTTGAGTTTCAAAATTTCTATTTTTTTCTGTACATACGGTGACACAATGTCAACACAACCCAGATACACACATATTGTACAAAGCAGTGGCGTGATAGTTGCCTACTAAGGCATACAGGAGGGTTTGTAGATCTTATTTATTTAATTGTGTTCCTTCTTCTGTTCTGTGTCCTTCAGCGAGGTGCAGACACGCTGCGAGCAGACACAACAGACAGGTGAGTCTGTGTTTGTGGTGACTCGAACACACGACTGTGATTGATGGAAGGAGTTGTAAGAGCTGTTTGTGGTCACATTTAATCCCGTCTGTCCTTCTGCAGGTACTCGGGCTCAGGAAGCTCAGGAGCAGCCTCCATGAGGAAGGTAAGGGAGAGATGTAGTGATGTACAAGACTGGCTGTGTACGAGGTGTTTTATAAATCAATGCGCACTTGGTAGCACTTTTAAATAATGCTATCTCTCAAATGATTCTGCCTCAAACCCCATTTTAATGAAGCAAACGAAGGCTCCGGTGGCGTAAACAATCTCCTAGCAACCGCATCCGCCGTTACACGGAGGTCGATTGTGTCCAAATAATAGCTGAACATAAAGGCAGACAGGAACAGGAGAGATGCCTGAGATTAAATCCATACAGCACTCTAATAATTAAATGAAAGATAACAGTGGAATGAGGTAAATTGGTTTCCGGATTTAGGTTACTGTGACACAGGAAGCTGCCTTAGTCATTCGCCCTCGCCTTTTCTCTAACACACCAAGAGTTGTAGCGTACACTGAGTCAGCTCGGTTGACTGTAAACACACACTTATTTAGCTTTGTTACCTCGATAAATAGCTGCAAGGCTCATTTAGTTATGCTGGTATTAATGCTAACGCCCAGGTTCACTCTGAGTTGGATGCATTTGTAAACAGAACACAAAATCAGATTCGAAACTTCTATCATTAAACTTTTGAAAGGAAAAAATTTTTTTTCTCTAAAATTTGTGATCTGATAAAAGCTGAACATCCACATTCTGGCACTAATTCCGACTCCAGTAGATCATGTTTACTGCTGGTTTGGCACCACAGTTTGGCTGTCGTGCAAAACTTCTGGTAACCTTCTGCAGCAACTTTGCCAAAGATTGTTTTTCATGGTTTGTTGCGGTTACAGTTTGGCAATGTTGCTGCAAATTTGCAGGAAGGTCATATTTTCATACACACATTAAATCTGTGGCAAAGCTCCAGACCCAATGTTTCCCTGTGGAGGACAAAGTGGAAAAGGTTAAGGGATTGGCCTGTTTGCAAAGTTAGCCAGAAGTCCGCTGCAAGTTTGCCACAAAACCTAATTTATGCATGATTTTTTTTCTGCACATTTACAGCAACATTGCCAAAGTTTAAGCCAGATTGTATATTATAGTAGCTAATCTATAGCTAACTTTCAATATTGATGTGTAGCAGATATTACAGAAGTCTTTTTGTTATGCTACATGTTAGCATTAAATTAACATGTGAGGTGTTAGCTCGGCTAAAAAGAGAAACTACAATCAACTGGATCGATCTCATCACAAGTTCCTCTTTGATTAATATTTAAGATCCTAAATTAAATATTAAAAATCTTTCAGATGTATGTCAGTGTTTGGAAAAATAACTCAAAATTGTTGCAGAGATGATGTAATTCACACCATCCTGACATCTTTGTGGTTTAATCTGTGTTCGTCTCAGTTCTCGGCTCTCCGTCGCAGGTTGTAGGTCACTTCTTGGCTCTCGCGGTTTTAACATCGTGATCCCTCGGTGCCTGTAATCCTCTCTGCTGTGTGCCTGATGGAATGAGAAATAAATAAATAAATACAAAGCCTAACGTGGAGTCAGAACAGGCTAGAATATTCCTTATCATCTACCCAGAAACAACAACAACAATAGCTTTTATAAAGCACCGCGAACAACAAGAGTTTACAAAGTTCACTGACAGATTAAGGAAAAGCAGGATACCCAGAAGGCAAAATAAAATAAAACAAGGCCAAATTGACGTAAAATTAGGATATAGTTAAGACAAGAAGAGGAGAAAACCCCCCCACAAAACTACAAAATGCAATATGCAAATATAAGTACAGCTAAAATAATAAAAGCAATAGAAAAATCTTTAAAAGCAATTAAAAGATGACGTCAAGTTGAAAAATCACAGATTCAGTTGGTTTTATCTCCTCAGGCCCTAAAGACATGTAGTAAGTTCAGCATAGCCATGATACGCTTTTGTTATCTGGCTTAACTAATCCTAAGCACTGAAGTCAGGCTCAACGGTCAAATGAAGCTTGTTATCAACTTTTCAAGTCAACCAAGGTTTTCTAAATGGAGCTATGGACATATTTCGACCTGCATTCTCCACTGTGAAGCTACTGACGATATACAAACTACCATCCTGAACCAATGTGAGGAGTTCAAAGACTATAACCCAGACTAAAAGCAGCACTATTGCCGCCCCTAAATCAGGAAGCAAAGCTGGAAATGCATAAGTTAATTGTCCTATTTGTATCACTGCTCCATCACTAAGACACGATCGGTTCTGACTATAATTGTAACTGTGGTATTCAGTTAAATGTGTTTCTTGGATGTAGCCTGTTCTTATGACACATTAGATGATGTAGCGTCATTCTTTGAGTGTTAAACCATCTTCAGAGCAAGTAAATAATAAATATTAAAACATTCAAACCAGTAGTTAGGCTCATTGCAAATCATGTGAAATCAACAAGTACAAGGTTTGAGGGCCTAATCGGTCTCTGTTTTAGGATGATATCGCTATATGAAGGCCTATACAAAAATAAAATGCACTCAACAGGAAAAAATAAAGCAAGAAAATTGGAATTCCCTCAATTGAAAAGCTATCATCTCTCAAATCGATGGAGGAAAAGAAAAGGGCTTCGACGCTAAAAACTTCAGACTTCCTGAAAGACTTTCTCATTATCTGCATACTGAGCTACACTGAGTAGGAGATATTTTTTTATATTTATTTTTTGACGTTAATCTGGTATTTTGATTATTGTCTTCTTTACTGGAAAACTTGTTCAATCTGTGCTTTAACGCTTACATGTGAATCAATTAAAAAAACCCTGATTTCTGGCAACAGGCTTCACATCAGCAAGTGGTCCAGGCCGCTGGTTGGGTTTGAGGGACTAAATACTTCAAATAAGTTGAAGAAAATGTGTCATCCAAATGTAGATGTCATGGATACAAAGTAAAGCAAAGTGACATTATGATGTTTGATGTTTTAACCAAGTGGGAGCATGTAAATATAAAATGAAACTGGGCCTAAAATGGAACCTTGCGGTACACCACAGGTCATGTGACCTGTAGCTGATGAGTAACTCTGCTTGACTCTGTCTAACATTTGTCTTCTCTCCACCTTCTAGTCTTTCCATTACACCTCTCTAAGAACGAAAACCAAAAAGAGAAGTAAAGGTAGGCCCTCTGCTGTGTTCTCTCCTTTATCTTATTATGTAGGATATTCACAGTACAGTACCGTACGCAGCCCCAGAGAGGCTTTTGTGTTTCGCCCTGAAGTCGTGTCTCAGTCTTGGTATCTGAACTCTGATTGGAGTGGCGTGTTTACTGCGGTGCGTCACTGTGAGAGGATGACGAGGTTTAAAATTATATCAAAAGGACATCAGCCCAGACATCAGCCCTTCTTTTACGTATTTATTTCCAGATGCACCGTGCGTGATGCAAATAGATAAACAGACGAAAACTTTCCTCCATTTAATTGTTTACCTTTTTTGGATGATGCTAATTTGTCACTGTCTCTGATGTAATGTGCTCTGAATATTATTACAGATACGCTTCAGATCCTTTAGTTTGCAGCGATTCAAGAGTTATTTAAGAACTGTGTACATTCAGCCACTAATATTCGACTCAATTCTGTTTAGTTTTAATTTGACGTGACTCTTTCATGTCGTCTCCGCCAGGTTCCCTCACTAGTGCCAGTCGAAGGAGAATCTCCTGTAAGGACTTGGGCCACGGTGACTGTGAGGGCTGGCTGTGGAAGAAGAAGGACGCTAAAGGCTACTTCACCCAAAAATGGAGGAAGTATTGGTTTATCCTCAAAGAGTCCTGCCTCTACTGGTACACCAACCAAAATGTAAGCCTCCTGGTGTCATCAGCACCTCTTCTTTACGCAGTTTTATTTCACACAACCACAATTTTAACAACAAAAAAAGTAAAAAATTAAAGGGACTCTCCACTAATTGAAACATATAAGTTAGTCAGCTCATTATTGAGAGTATCATGTAAATAGTCATATAATGTCCTTTATGGCTCTAGAGGAGCTGGCTATTGTCTGACAAAATAACCCTGTTGATGTCATTTTAAAAATTTCTTTTCCCAACATTTATACTTATATTAAAGATTTATGTTACTAATATTAATTGTATATATCTAAATTTTATGACATAAAAAATAGAACACAACTGCATAAACATAGAGGATTAATGGAGTATTTAACACATCCTTTTCTGTTCTATTCAGGAACATTTTTCCCAAATACTGTTGTCAGATAATATAGTACTGAGATCATTTGTACAAAAGTAATAAAGATTTAGAGAAGAGTTTTAAAAAATGACTTGTATATGTGTGATAGAGTCACTGCTGCTTTTTTGAAATCACTTTGTCATTCCTGTATTTATCATTTCCTCTTATGAACTTGGGCTGCAACTTGCAATTGGATGTTCTGTTTTACGAAACAATACAACGGAAACATTTTTCTTGATTAGTCAATACATAATTCAACCAACAAAACATGCAAAAATAGCAAAAAGTAATGTACATGATTTAACAAAAAAAACAATCCAAATATGTCAATTTATCATATAAAAAACAAGGAACGCAGCCAATTCTTACTTTTTAATTTTTAAAAAAATTATCTTTTGAAACATTAAATGTGTGGCACATTTGCTTTAAAATTTACCCGATTTACAATAATTTTCTATAATTAAAATACAGTTATTAGCCTTAATTTTACATATTTTTTTGTCTTGCTTTTTAATGTTTAATAAATTATTTGTAAATGTGTAAAGAAAATTATTACAATTCTTCTTCTTCTTCTTCTTCTTCTTCTTCTTCTTCTTCTTCTTCTTCTTCTTCTTCTTCTTCTTTTTCTTCTTATTGTTAGTATTATCATTAAAAGGCTAAATATTGCAGAAAAGTGCCATGAATAGATACAAATCTGAAAAATGCATTAATAATCTTGTAGCAGTAGCTATTTAATTTGAGTTTGCAAGAATCTGCTATTAATTTTAGATCATATCAATTGTAATATATTTTTTAAATATTTATTACAACATCTGGAAAACAATTCATACATCTTATTTTAAGTTTTAAAATAAATGCATTTACCTTTGGAAAAAAAATCACTGTTATTAAACACTTATTACAACAATAAACTGTTCATTTTAGATCATATTCAATATGACTGTTTTAGCACAGTTTTACATAAAATTAATAGGTCTTTTTTTACTATTTTATTTTACACTAGGCGTGTACATTTAGTATTTTCACAGTAGTGTTTTCATGTCCCACCCTTTCTTTCATGTTAAGCAGGGAGAGGACTTCATCCCCGCCAATGTAAACAACATATGTTGTGTTCATATGCTCGACCGCAGTATTACTATCTTGAATAAAATAAGTATATCAGTATGCATGACATTTTGTTCTGTGTGTTGATGATGTACCACCACTCTCCATCTGTCTCTGCCTGCAGGATGAGAAGGCTGAGGGCTTCATCAGCCTCCCCGAGTTCAGAATAGACCGAGCCATAGAGTGCAGACGGAAATTGTGAGTGTCCCTCATACGTCGCCAAAATTACTAATTAAGCGCATTTGCGTTCACCCACACAACGAGAACACACACACACACACTCAAAAAGAAAAAAGCGCTAATCAGTCTTCCTCTCTCTGACTGACTGCAGTGCCTTCAAAGCCTGTCATCCCAAAATCAAGAGCTTCTTCTTCGCCACAGATTGTCTGGAGGAAATGAACAGGTGAGTGGTTGTGCGTCCGCGGGAGTCTCTGCGTTTTGGGTTTTTTTTTTGTTGTCTTAACGTGGACAGCGGCCGGAGACTGGGGACGTCACGTGTCCCTTCATGAATGTTTTAACCGAGTAAATCAAGTTTACACAAGCAACAGCCCACCAACACAACGCTGTGCATGAATAAGGCATGAACTTGGCCCTCTGTTGTTAAATGTAGAACTCCGTGTGAGTGTGAGCGTCACGTGTGTGCTCGTGTGAGAGGCACGTCGTAGTGATATTTGCAGGAGTGCTATCTGATGAGCTCTAATTATCCACACCTCTCCTCAATGACATGGGGAGATAATTGGGGGAGAGTAATTAACCGGCTATATTTGACGACGTCCGTGCCGCATTTGGAGGTTCATGTGTGAAAATGCTGCTGCACAGTTTTCACATGTGCGAATGTGGTGTCATTGTGACTTTTTTGAAGGCGTTCACAGTGAAGTTAAATTTAGATGTTGGTTCCTGTGGTCAAAACACGAGAGAAGCTCCTCTGAAGGCTCCCGTGGACAGTTCCCGGGGCTGACATACTGTGTAATCAGGAGCCACACTCAAGGTTAAATTCAAGGAAATGGCAAAACCGGCTTGTGATTAAATGCCATTTTGAGATAATCAGCATCAGCCAATTACTGGCTTGGCATCGGCTGGTTCCCAGGAGGGCAGCTAACAGGGGCTACGCTGGGTCGGCCCGCGCCGGCTGCTGGGACCTGACCTGCTACCACAGCCAATCGGTGGCTTTTTATGGTGGGGAGTCACGCTATCAGTTCAGGAAGCCTCACCTAGAAAGCTGCAATTTTACAGATTTTTTCCTTTTTATTTTACGGTTCAAGTTTTTACAATTGATATTACAAAGACAGACTAAAAGTGTCTAATATAAGATAACAATAATTCTGAAGAGCTGTAACATTCCTATTTTTTTTTAAAAGAAAATTTATTGTGTTTGTGAAAATAAATTCACAAAATTATCGTAATTTCACAAATATTTTGGTTTTACTCAATAAAACTGTAAGAGTCAAGTTCAACACTGCAACTATTTTTCTAAAATTAAATACAATTGGTGGCAATTTACAGAAAGGAAATATTGGTGATTTAATTTTCCATTGATTTGTTTGTTAAATGAAAAATATCTTCACAGCTCTTAATAAATAATAAATAAATGTCCTTTCATCAGTGTATAATATCTATTTTTTAAAATTTTTGTTTTCATGATTCTATATTTTAGTTATTTTTCAAATATGAATATAAAAAAGATATAATGTTTATTTTAATTTTTTTAATTTTGGGAAATTATTACATTTTTATGAAATGATAATTTCTCCTTTTCTCTCTATTTTATTTATTTATTTATTTATTTATTTATTTATTTTACAGTATTTTATCTATTTTATCTTTTATTATTTGTTAGTTGTTTTTTTTGTTTTTTTTTTATTTTTCCAGTGTAGATTCAGTCTAAATATCTTTACTGCTGAAAGAGGCAGAAAAAATACTAAACACGTGTCGCAGTGAGCTTCAGAGAAAACATACTGAGAGACAGAAGCCAGTGATGTCTGCTGAGCTGATGGNAGCAAAGTTCAAGTGTCCTACAAGAAGCTTAAGAAAAGAAAATGATTGTGCATGAGTCCTTACCAAGAGAACAAATAGCTGTGAATGCATAGCTTCTGAAAACATGTTGACTTCTACACACATATGCATGCAGGAAGACGACCAGTGTGCTTACAATTGCAAAATAAAAATGCACAATCCAAATCTTATTTTGAGATTCTCAGAGTTGCTGCTTAGAGGTTGTTTCCTGCAGTGAAGGAGATTTTTAAATAGTAACCGATCGAGGGCAAAGGAGGAAGAATACCCACAGTCTACATCTTTTAAGTCAGACTAGTCGACCGTTAAACCTGAAAACCGGCGAGGGTGAAGTCCCATTAAAAGACCAAAACTAACTGTGTTTCCAAACTTTCCAATAATCCCTGACTGTGCTGTTTTATCCTCAAGCCTATTTCACTACTGAAGACTCAGTAAAATGGGTCACAAATGTTTCATTTTACAAAAAAAAGGCTTAATACAGATGGGCACGGCAGCTTTTGGGAAATTTTACTCAAAAAGGAGTAAAAGTGAAGCTGTCAGCGACTATTTCAGCCTCTTTGTCCATCAGAATGAAGGAACGTGTCAGTTAGCGCCTCGCCGATGATGTTAATCGCTTTTCAACAACAATGAAACAGAGGAATCGCTAATATCAGGCTTCGGCTACACTTGTTGGACCAGTAAAATCTTGGTTTTTCATGGGAAGAAAGTGTCATAATGCCGACGCCGCTTCCTGTTGGAGGCGCTTCCTCCAGTAGTACGATGAGTTTCCAGCCCTTCACGTCAAGACGGGGGTTTCTATTCTTAGCCTCGACCTTATTATGAGGTGTCTGCAGAGGGACAAGCCGGGATCTGCAACGGAGACAGACAGAAGTGGATGCAGAGAAGGGAAAGAACGCCATCTGAGACTTGCTGGGATTGTCATTTCCCTCGTTCTGCATCCGTCGCTGTAATTATCTCAAAGCTTTTCTCTCCTCATCAGGGGGATGGAGTCAGTTAGACAGATATCAACTGTTAAGAGACACCACTTCAATTATTCAGAGGGAAAGTTTTTTTTATTCATCACCTACCGTTTACCCGGTATAACCCGTCTTTCCTTCCTCCTCTTGTCTTCTATTACCGTCCTTATTCTTGCTTTTTAATCCTTCGCTTTTCCTCACAGGTGGATGAACCGGCTCGGTCTAGCTGCTATTGGCTACACACCAGACGATAAGGTGCCACGCCCCGACGAAGGTGAGCTCCTCTGGTTTGGTTTTCAAATGACCCGCTCAGCCGTTTGAAATGCTAACATTCATATGTGTGTGCTCACATCAGACTACTGGAGCGAGAGCGATCAAGACGAGGTGGACGGCTCGATGACACTGAAGCAGGAAGGACCCTCGTCCCTCTGTGACACCTACCATCGCACGCCATCAGTACGTCGCACACACTCCACGCAGGGTTTCATTCTGATGGAATATTTTATTCTTAAAAGCCCCACAGTTTTCAGAGCTGCGTAGACCGGAGCTCTCAGCATCAATAAAACATCAGAGTGGGAGACTACCCGGTTCTGTAAGCAGCCCAGAACATCACTGTTCTCTGTGTTCTGCTGCCAGAACCGTGTTCTGACCTCTAGGGGGCGACAGCTGACTCATTGCATCTCTGCTTTTACTCAGATACACCATCCCAGCTAGAGTGTTTT